AAAACAGTCAGGGTCCAGGCTCCTCTGCCTGCCCGTCCCACCTGCCTGAGCCTGCCGCTTTAGGCTGTTCTTTGGCTCTTTGGTTTGCAAAGGTTGGTTTCCCCCACCTTTAGGAACCACTACTGTGATGGATAGATAGAAAGGCAAAGGACTAACTAGGCCAGTCAAGCTGGGCCTTTTTAGCTTTCACTGTCACTGTAGATATCTTCCGGGGTCGTCCTAGGCTGAACCAACAGGTCTTTCTTGAGTGGGTTCAGCTTTCTAAAATATTCCTTACTGTGTAGAGTATATAAAACTCCTGGTCAGAAATGGATGTTATGTGCACCTTTCCTATATTTTTATTAGTTTTCTGACATAAAGACTTCGAATGTTTATTCAGCCTTGATATTTAATATCCAACCCCTCTAGTTATATCATAATTTTTTCTCAGGTAATTGTCCCTCAGCTTTTTGGGGTTTTTTTTTGGTTTGTTTGTTTGTTTGTTTGTTTGTTTTGTATTTTAGGACAGGTTCTACAGGGTCTCACTGTGTAGATCCAACTCGTAGTGATCCTCCTGTGTTCAACCTCTCATGAGCTGGGATTACAGGCACACCCCACCATGCCCAGTCTCAATCTCTGTCTCAACATGCCCCACGGGCGGGGCCGGCACAGCACGCCAAGAATTGAGCCCCGGCTGCTGCGCTCTGCCTAAGCAGGCGCTTTAGCCCTCAGCTTTATTGATAAAATTTTAAAACATTGTATGTACTTACAATGTACCATGTGACAGTTTGGCAAATGTACAGCATGTGAAGTGATCGTCACAAGTCACTTAACACATCTGTCACTTCACATAGCGACCAGCTGTAGGGATTTTCAGTTACTGCATACAATACGGTACTGTGTAGTAGGGTCGCCGTTCTGCGTATCAGATCCCCAGAACTTCCTCATCATACAGCTGAACATTTATACGCTCTGACCAAGATCCCCTCACTTCTCCTGTCTGCTAATCCTTGGCAACTGCCGTGCTCTCTGCTTCCCTGAGTTTGACTTTATAGATTCTGCATACTGATATATGGTCATGCGATATTTTTTTTTCCTGTGGCCACCTTATGTCCTCCAGCTGTATTCACATGATTGCAACTAGTAAAATGTCCTTTTTTGGCTGAATAGTGTTTCATTCTATGTGTGTACGTATAGAGATCTAGTGGTGGATCCATCGATAGCACATTTTCTCTGCCTATTTTTCTGTGAGTGAACATTCAGGTTATCTCCGTATGGTGACACGTGCAAGGGCGAGTGATGCAGCAGCGGACCTGGAAGTGCACATACCTCCCTTGGATACTGATTTTACTTCCTGTGGCTAGATTCCCAGATGGGAGATTTTTGGCTGTGCTAATTCCATCTTTAATTTTCTTGAGGAACTTCCATACTGTTCTCCATAATGACTGTCCAGTTTACATTCCCACCACAAATGCTCAAAAGTTTCCATGTGTAAACTGGGTGTGGTGGTGCACGCCTGTAATCCCAGCCCTGGGGAGGCTGAGACTGGAGGATCACTATGAGTGAGCGCTGTGTAGCAAGACCCTGTATCAAATAAATAAGCGCAGTGGCCAGGGTTCCATCCCTGGCATGCCCTATGAGCCCTGCCCCTGGGACATGCTAAGACAGGGATTGAGAATGGTCATGGTGGTATGGGTTTGTAATCCCAGTGTTTGGGAGGCTGAAAACAGAAAGATCACTATGATACTTGTACTATCTACATAGTGAGACCCTGTAGACCTTGTACTAAATGAAAAAATAAAATTAGAAATAAATGATTAATAAAAAATAGCAAAGCATTTCCTTGTCTGCATGTCCTTACCAGCATTTATCTGTTATTTTTTTGTACTTGCCTGTACAAAAAAAGTGTGAAGCCACACTTCATTGTGACTTTAATGTACATTTCCCTGATTAGTGATGTAACTCTGATCTATTTGCATATCTTCTTTTGAGAAATATCTATTCAGAACCATTGCTTGTTTTTAAACAGCAAAAGATTAAGAAAACATGCATGGATTTTAATAGATAACAATAGAAATTTGCCAAGATGAAACATTGAAAATTAATTTAGAAAAATGAAATCATCCTAAGTGGGCATGGGAGAATTTCTAGGGACTAACAGGTATTATTAGATTCTTTGAAAGAGAAGAAAGGATTTTTAAAATAAATAAAGATTGAGGGACTGTGATACAGCTTAGTGGTAAAGCATTTGCCTAGCATTCGCTACATCCTGGGTTCAGTACCCAGGACCACACCAGGGGGAAAAGTTGCTTCAGGTTTTTTAAATTTAATAGAACAATTGTCACCTCATAAATTAAAACATGAGAGACTTGTAACACACAAATAGGAAGACACCAAGGTGTGCCCTACTCAAAGCAAGAATCAACACAATGTTATTTTTCTTTACAATGTTTAAGCTTTTTCTTTCTCTTGTTCATTTGGATATCCAGTACAATTGAAAGTGAAGGGGCTAGGAACATTAATTTGCTTTTTGTTAACTGTTAGGCGAAAACATTCAGTATTCCACCATGGAGTATAATGTTAACTGTGGATTTACCATAGCTGCCTTTCATCTGATTGGGGGTTACTTTAATTCTCAGTTCACTGTCAGTTTCTTCTGGAAGGTGTTAGTGTGAGCGTCTCTTCATTTAAAAAAAAAAAAAAAACATATTTGGGTGCTGGCCCTGCCCCCCGGGCATGCTGAAACAGCATTGAGACTGGGCGTGGTGGTGCAAGCCTGTAATCCCAGCGTTTGGGAGGTTCACTGAGAGTGAAGAGTCAGCTCTACATAGTGAGACCCTGTAGACCCTGTACTAAATACATTAAAAAAAAAAAAAAAAAAAAAGGCATTTGGCTGTTAACAGTTTCACAATGAGGTAGCTTGGACTCATGGCAGTCCTCTTGCTTTCAGCCTCCCCAGTGCCAGGATTATAGGTGTGCACCACCATGCCCAGACTCTGGCCAGCTCAGCCCACCTTAGGGCCGGGGCTGGCCGCATGTGGTGTGGACAGTTGAACCTGCTGTCCCTCACTTGCCTAAGCAGGCACTTTAGTCCACTGAGCTCTCTCGATGGCCCCTTCGTTCTCTTGCTGACCACTGATGGATCATCCTTGCAGAAATGTCTGTTTATGTCCTTTGCCTGTCATCAGACATATGGTTTGCAAATGTGTCCTGCACATTCCCTTTGTTGCCTTTTTGTTTTATTGAAATCAAAAGCTTTTTGGCTTGATGTGGTGCCAGTTTTTCTTTTTTTTTTTTTTTTTTTTTTAATTTGTGGCAGTAGAGTGCCATAGTAAAAAAAAAAAAAAAAAATCATCCAAGACCAATGTCAATTCCAAGACCAATTCTCCGTGTTCTAGATTTTGTGTGTGCGTGTGCTTTCAGGCCTGTTAAATCTTTGGTCCATTTAGTGCTAATTTTGTACATAATAGTCCAATTTCATTCTTTCACATATATGATACTATCAAAATATAAAGTAAAAGTTTAACTTCAAAAATATTATTGCAGTAAAAAGCACTGCCATTGATTCCCCTCATCATATGACCCCTGTCTTTGAACACGCTAGTTATTCTTGCCACTTCCTGGAGCAGTTCTGAAAGTCTCTTTGTCTTTTTGATGTATGATTAAAACTGTGATGACTGCAGCTGCTGGCTGCCCTCAGGAACGAAAAGGCGGGCTCATAAACCATTAGGGTGGGGCGTCGTCCCCTGGGTCTTCGGCCCTCTGTGACTCCTGACCCTTCCCTAGCATTAACTTGATCTCGAAAAGCAAACATATGGAATGGATTCAGTACTCTGAGGCAGATGTAAAAGCAACTTAGTGACCTGCACAACAAAGGACTGTGTCAGGAAGTGGCAGGAATGCAGGGCTCAGCCCGGCATGGTGCTGCATGCCTGCCATCCCAGCACTCAGGAGACTGAGGCAGGAGGATCTTTGAAAGTTTGAAACCAGCTTGGGCTACAAAGAGAGCTCAAGACCAACCTGAGCTGCTGTGTAGCAAGACTCTGTCTCAAAAAAAGGAAACAATTTTTTAAAAATATAGAATGATATGCTAGGTGTGTATGAAATGAGTATTTTGAGGGAATTAATGACGACGTTTCTTGTACTATTTAAACATTCACCATATTCAGTCACACCACATACTGGAGGGGTGTCTCCAGCTATCTGAACCCCTTTATTGTACAGACTGTTCTCCTGAGGATATTCTTGACCCTCCTGGCAAAGACCAGTCTACCGTATGCATATGGGTCTTTTTCTAGGCCCTCTCTTCTGTCATCGATGTCATAGTTGAGCTCATTCCCCCCCTCAGGGCTAAGAACTTACCCATGTGTAATGTAAACACAGTTTCTAAAAGTGCTCATCCTGAAGTATCTAGAAACCCTCTAGCAGCTACTGAATCCATGGTGGAGGAAGGAACACAGGTGGCAGGCACAGAGATTCAGAGAAGAGGGAAAAGAAAGCGGCCAGTGATCTCAGCTGGAGAACCAGGGAAGGGGAGGAGGCACAGAAAGACAGCTCGCAGCATCTTGTGATGACTCCACTAGACCCCATGTCTGGGGGAAAATGTGCTCTAAAGATTCAAAATGTAGATCAAGGAAGATGGGACAATTACCCAAGAGTGCAAGGGCCTGGGCAGAGGGGAGTGGGTCTACTTACTACTTATGGAAAGGGTCTGATATCCATAAGGATTCCAGGCCAAATCTAGACTGGGGTTGAAGTAGAACAGAGGTGAGAAGTTAGGTGTTAAAGCCGGGCTTGTACAGGCTCCAGTGTGTGTATGGTGTTTCATTGTGAGCCCACATCATATTAGAGTCCAATTTGTAAGTAGTAACCACTGTGTAGTACTTCGGGCTTCTCCCCTAGGTAGAGAGCAGGGACTCCTTCCTTGGGTGACGAGCACATTTGCGATGCTCAAATCCGAGTGCAAGCGCCGGGCCTTGCAAATCTCGCAGGCTCTCATGCCTATTTCCCTCCCTCCCCAGGAAGCCGAGGGTGTCTCCTGCCACTACTGGTCGCTGTTCGATGGTCATGCAGGGTCTGGGGCCGCCGTGGTGGCATCGCGTCTGCTACAGCACCACGTCACGGAGCAGCTGCAGGACATCGTGGAGATCCTGAAGAACTCGGCCGTCCTGCCCCCCACCTGCCTGGGCGAGGAGCCGGAGAATACGCCGGCCAACAGCCGGACACTGACGCGCGCTGCCTCCCTGCGCGGTGGGGTGGGAGCCCCGGGCTCGCCTAGCACCCCACCCACGCGGTTCTTCACCGAGAAGAAGATCCCGCACGAGGGCCTGGTCATCGGGGCCCTGGAGAGCGCCTTCAAGGAGATGGTAGGTGCCGCCGGCCTGCCCGGGACCCCAGGAGTGGACAGCCCCTTACCCCAGTCCTTTCCTTCTGGGAGGAGGCCCTGCCCTGTCCCTCCTGCCCTGCGTCCCGGGAGCAGGTGTCTCACCTTTATAACAAGACTCTATTATTAGTTATGAAAAAAGAGTTGGCACCGAGATGAGAGTTCCTGGCATGAGTGCTACCAAAAATTAAAAAGAAGATGAAAGCAAGGGCCAGCCACGACGGCCTGCTTATGAAATGTATACCTTATCGCTTCCTTTTCATCAAACTCACATTGGTGCCCAGCTGGTTCAGTCCGAATTAATTGAAATGGGAGTGGGGTGGCCATCTGTTTTGCACATGTGTATGAAGTCCAGGTGTCTGGGGAAACCGCGTTTGCTAAAGCGCTCAGAAGCGCCGTCCTGTCCAAACCGATCTAAGAGCTGTTGGGTGATGGTTGATGTGTTTCACACAGCTGGAAAGATGGGGCTGCAGAGGGGATCTCGGGGGCTAATAATCGAGAGTCTTTTGTTTTCTCCAAGCACTCGGTGTAGCATCCTTCCCCAAGCCCCAGCAGGCTGTGCCACAGTGCTGCAGAGGAGCACTGTGAAGGCCCCCGGGCTTTGCTCTGACCACCTCCGGCTCTGAGCTCACCTGCTGAAGCAGCAACTGTGGCTCCAAAGATTTACTTTCATGAGCAGCAGCCCCCATAGAAAGTAGGAGTTATTTAAGAGTGTTTCTAAGGACTAGAGGAACCGGGGGGTGGAGGGGGCAGTGACCTTAAAACCTGGAGATTAAAAAGTGATGACAAGTTGTTTGGCGAAGCAGAACAGCTGGAAGTTGAGCTCACAGTGTCAGGTCCCATACTGCAAAGAGGGCAAAAGCAAATGGTAGCTATGAACACTGTCGTTGAATTTGTTTGCAAGGACAAGGAGATAATATGAACACCTCAGAGTTGAGTCTGCTTGTCGTGTAAACTCATCTCTGGTGTGATCTCAGCTTTTCTCTCCTGTCACTCACATAGAATCTCCTGTCACACCTCTATCTCAGGTGTCCAGTAGCCTGCAGTTCTGCAGTTCCTCAGGAAAAAAACAAAAACAGGAAGCTAGAAACGATATTCTTTAAAAGAGGAATTAAGATAGGAATACTAACTTCTATTCGGGCTTGGTGTAAAATTGCATGCCGTGTCTTTCCTCTGCATTCTGATGTGTTTCCAGGCAGTACTGCATACGGTGCTAAATATTTATTCATGGTAACTCTCTGATGGTGGCCTCTTTGTTATGGAAGAAAAGGTCAGCGTGTACAGAAGTGAAAACAGGAAGAGGACTGGGGAATTTTCATTCTGTGGTAATTGCTAGGAGCGCCGGACATCTTTGACTGACTGGGAACGGCTGTATTCTCTGTTTCATCCACTAGGGGCCGATGTGACATCGACGCTGGTCTCCACAAGGGTCTTGGGCAGCTGCGTTCCATTAATGGGTTCGGGTTGCTAGCAACAATTTCACTTCAGAGCCTCACTCGGAAAAATACCTACCCAAGAGACCTTATGCTTATGTATTGGTGCCTTTCAGCCTTAGGCAGTTCATTACCTTTTTTAAAAATTCAGTTGTCATCACACACATCAGTTGTCTGCAGACACACACACAACTTGGTTGGTCCACTTCTTCGTTTGTTTTGCTTTTCTGAGACGGGGTCTCACTGTATAGCTCAGGCTGGCCTGGAGCTGCAGCTGTCCTCCTGCTCAGCCTCCTGCGTACAGGAATTACAGGCGTGGGCTGTTCATCCAGCTCCACTTTTCATTCATTCAGTCAGTGAATGTTTGTGAGTTGGTTGTGGTGGTGCACGCCATAACTTCAGCATCCAGGAGGCACATCGTATGGTGTGCTGAGTGGCCTCTATCTGAAATGCTACACCAGAGAGGGTCTCTGATGTTGGGTTTTTTCAGGTTTAAGGAGATTTGCACATCCAGAAAGAGGATTCTTAGGCATGGGCCCTGTCTTCATCACTTTTTTGTCTGTGGGAGACAACACCTGGCACTTGGGATGTAAAGGAGGAGAGGCTGACTTTGCCTCACAGTTTCAGAGTCTCGGTCCACGCGTGCTCGGCCGGCAGCGGGGTGTAGTGGAGGGACGCCGCCTGCATCGTGGCAGCCAGGAGGTGGAGAGCACAGCGAGAACCCGGGGAGGGAGATGAGCACTTCTGGGTCCCCAGTGCCTCTATCCAGCCACCTCCCAAAGCACAATCAGCTGCAGAACTCACTACTAATGAGCATAGCATCCCACGATCCATTTGGCTTCCAGAAGCCCTTCCTTGAGTACGTGAGCTTGGGGTGAATCTAAACCATAACTGGCCCCAATCTCAGCATGAGATTTAAATTTGTGTTATAGTGACCAGGGAGATGGCTCAGTGGATTAAGCGCTTCCCTGGCAAGCGCAAGGGCCTGAGTTCTGGTTCTGCCATAAATAAATAAATTAAATTTGTGTCATAAACACTTTATATAAGTAGCCTAAAAATAACTTTATGCAGTAGTTTTAATAACTATGTGAAACCAGGGTTCACAGTATTGAATTATCCATTTGGTATTATGTCATTGCTCAAAAAGGTTTCAGATTTGGGAGCATTTCCAATTTGGGCCTTTTGGATTAGGAATGCTTGACCTATTTGAACTTTTAGCTGTAAACTTTCTTTTCTCCACCTTCATTGCTTCTGAATACATGTCCCCCAGCCCTGGCTCGTCACCCTGCTTCTTCAGGAGACAGTCCCCCAGCGTGCCTACAGCCTGCCTGGACCTTGTACCATATGGTTGGCCTCTTTAAGTGAGAAGTAGGTACTTAACATGCTGTATCCAACACCATGTTTTGCTTCTCATGGTGTTGGATACAGTGCCTATATCTCACACTTCGCCAGGATCTCAGCCTGTTGTCCCAGGGTAATTATTAATAGTACTCCCTTTTGACACTCAGACATGTCCTTCTTTGATGATAAGTCTGATGTTACCGTAATCACAAATAGGTCCCTTTGTTTTTCTTGGCTTCATTAGGGACTTCAGAAGAGGCTCTGATTTCATAGAAATCCTGCCTGACTTAATCATTCAGTTGTTCACGTTGAGCTTCAGAATGGACCACACAAATTATACCAAGTGGTCTCAGAACAATAGCTGTAGTGGATTTCTAACTGGTGGTCAACTTATTACACCCAACTGAGTTAAGCTAGTGTGGTGCTGGGTGTGGGAGGCCCACCTGAGGACTGTTTCCAGCAGCGGAAGGGCAGAACAGGAGAAGCTGCCGAAGCGCTGTTAGGGATGCTTCTTGAGAAGCTGTGATGGAGGCTGCTCTCTCTCTTGGGCTGTTCGGCCGGAGGACCTTGTCGTGCTGGCTCTCCCGATGAACTTTGGAGGAGCTCAGGTCCTTCTCATGAGCTTCACTTCCTCGCTCTAGAGGGGAAGATGGTGCACTGCTCAGTCTCATGAAGAAGCTTATCGCATTGGCTTTCCTGATGGGAACTCGGCTCTCCTCATCGCAGGAGGAACTCGGGACCTCACTGTTGCTGAGGACGGCTGTGGTACTCTTGGGGGAGCTTTAGCGCTTACCTTGAGCATTGCTTCCTAGCTCCAACTCAGATCCCTCAGCCTGCCGGCACAGATCCTTCATCCCACTGCCATAGGCTGCCTAGCTTCCTCCACTGACCTTTGGGCCTTTTCAGCACAGATCCGTGAAGCAGGATCCAGGTCCTCGGCTGGCTTCTTTAGTATTTAGTGTGTGAATAGATGTCCTGCACTTGTTGTATATAATTCTTGGTGATCCCTTATAAACTAATATTATGTGTCCTGTATTATATTGTTCCCCTTGCAAAAGCCCCAAGCACAACAATAATCTAAAGGCCATTGTCCGCTTGTGTGAAGTACTTTTACGTCCCCTCATTATTAGCTTGAGAGCCATGGACTCAAAGCAAAGCTTGGATTTTTGAATGCCCGCTGCGTTTCTCATCTTGTTGACCTAATCTGGCGTCTCCTCTCCAGCATTTCCAGAGAGGAACAGCTTTGGAGTTCCCTGGCCATTCCTAGGCTGTTCCTTCCCGCACTGGCCAGCCACACGGTAGCTTTCCTATCTGGACGTCTTCTGTCTTAGTGCAGCTTTTGTGCCATTGTGTTCTCCTATACTGGGAACGTTCACCATCAGAGTAGGTTACCGGCGAGCATCTCCGCCTGGTGGTTTGCTTGTCTTCTCTCTCACCTTCAGCCCCTAGAGGTCAGCACCTACGTTGTGACTTACCTTATGATACCCTGCGGCTGTCACTCCTGAGATACAGATCTCAGGATACTTTAAAATAGCCCTGGTGGGGCCGGGGAGATGGCTCAGTGGAATAAGCGCTTCCCTGGCAAGTGCAAGGGTCTGAGTTCAATTCCCTGTTCTGCCAAATAAATAAATAAAAATAAAAAAATAAAATATCCCTATCTATCCTGCTTAATCACTTTTTCAAGTGTGGGGGACAATACCTGACTTCAAGGAAGAAAGATTTATGTCACTTCAAGACTAAAAATACCCTTGAGATATACAGAGTATACCAGGATATTACAGTATCCCTACAAGATAAGTGTCCCCTTCTCTGGGGTCTTGCTTTATTTATACTAGTTCAGTAATATAGAATCTCTCCCTCCTTTCTGTCTCCGTGTAATACTTTTCTTGGTCACTAGTGTTTACAAAGCTTCCACTTTATAATCAGCATTCTGCTATGCCTGAAAGCAGATAGAAGTAACAGATAAAACCTCTCTGGGTCCATTTCTAGTTACACATTACAGGAATATAGAAATATGCCATCTCTCACTTGTTTTGGAGTTCTAAAGTGACATTAAAGGATGTCATGCAATGTTGATTTACAAGTAGTCCAGAAGGGACCATCTGTTAAACATGTTCACAAACACCAAGCCAGATTAAGTAGTTACTATTTCTAGGAAACAGTAGGTGCTATTTACAAAATACAGACTCACAGGACAGAGAAAAACATG